GGCGTTCCGGACGCAGTGTGACTCTTGTGACGCAGTACGATGTGGAGCTGCTCCAGCGCATCGAGGCCGCCATCGGCAAGCGTCTCGAAGAGTTTCCCGGCAGCGACCGTGAGATGGTCATGCTCCTTTCTGAACGCGTTGGCGAAGCACAGCGTGCTGCCCAGCGCGAGATCCAGGACAAGGGTCTCGGATCGGCTGGTGGCGCTGGTCGCCGCCGTCGGAGACAGGCCGGCGATGACGACGACAACCGCGACCGCGACGACGACGTGGTCCAGGCCGGGTCATATCGCAAATCTGGCAAGCGCCGAAAGTAGCAGTAGTCTAGACAGTGCCGATCTCCTTGTAAGGGTACTCGAGCGGGCCATCGTCGCGCCGGCGCCAGAGCTTGCGCTTCTTTCCATCGGCGCCCTGGCACCACACCTCGACGCAGTGCTGGCTCTTGAAGCGACGGACGAACCGCGGGTCCCACAGCTCCGACGCGATGCCAAGGTCCTTGCAGCAGCGCATCAGCGCGTTCGACTTGGCGCCCTCGTTGGCCATAGACACGCCGGACGGCTTAAAGTACTCCTGCTCGCCACGCGACGTGGCGACAAAGCGGCCGAGACAGATGAGCGACCATTCCCGGCTCACCATGCCCTGCGACGTGTCCGCCTCGCTGCGTGGAACGAGGCCCCAGCCGCCGGGACCGAACGCGCTGTTGAGAATGCGCCGGTACTTGATCTCGGGCAGGTACAGCATGCCGTCCGGCTTGATCTCGACGTCTTCCGCACGAATAGGCTCAAGCAGCACCTTTGCCACCTCAGGGGGGAACGGACGCTGGCCAATGCCGTCGAAGCCCGTCTGCCACTCGCCCGAGTCCGTCTCGGCGACAGTTGCTGCGGGTGGTGTGAACTGCTGTGGTGCGGCCGCTGCTGCAGGCGAGGCCACCCGTGCGCCAGTCTCGGCCGGCGCCGACGAAGCGGCGGCAGTCGCAGCAGCAGCAGGCTTTGCCGCTGGTGGCACATCCCTTGCGGCGGCGCGTGACATTGGCGGACGACCGCGTGCAGGCGCCGCAGCTGCGGCACGTGGTGCGTATGAGGATGCGGCGCGCACTAGAGACCGAGGGGCAAATCGGAGCAGCATGGTGAATGCTCGCTCGAATCTAAGCCCACGTGGAGCGAATAATTTTTTTGCGCGCTACCAAAATTATAGATGCAGTCCGAGCCGGCCGTTGAGGCGCAGCACACGCGCTTCGCTAAAGAGCATGTCGATGCGGAGCACGCTCCGCGCGACATTGGTGATGCCGAGTCTGTCGACAGCCATGTGATGCTGGCGCGCGAGCTGGGTCTCTCTGTCCAGTACGAGCGCCAGGCGGCGCTGATCAACAAGGCTATCAAGGAGGAGATTGGGTTCGGGCCGTTCCAAATCAAGCTTTCGCTGCTTGCTGGATTCGGCTGGTTCGCCGACAACATTTGGTTCGGCGCCCTCTCCGTGTCGCTCACGCGCTTCCGCCGCGAGTTTGGCGAGCAGCACGTGGGCATGGCCACCTTTGCTCTCTATGTCGGTCTGCTTTTTGGCTCCACGTTCTGGGGATTTGCGTCTGATGTTATTGGACGCCGTCCGTCGTGGAATATCACACTCTTTCTTACGGCGGTGTTTGCGATCGCTGTCGGCGGTGCCCCGTCGTTTGCGGCCGCGGCTATTCTGGTCGGATGCCTCGGCCTTGGCCTCGGCGGCAACCTCCCTGTCGACGGCGCGGTGCTGATCGAGTTCCTGCCTGGCACCCACCAGTGGATCGTCACCTTCCTGTCCTTCTTTTGGTGCATTGGTCAACTGTTTGCTTCTCTAATTGGCTGGGCCTTTATTCCGAACTTTAGCTGTCCAGACGAGGGGCCGTGCCCCCGTTCGGAAAACATGGGCTGGCGCTACATGTGGTTCCTGCTGGGCGGCGTCACGCTGATCATGTGGTTCGTGCGCTTCTTTGTATACCCTATCCCCGAGTCGCCCAAGTACCTGCTCGCGATGAAGCGCGAGGAGGAGGCTATGGAGGTGCTCCAGTTTATCGCCAAGGAGAACGGCAAGACGACTTCGCTCACGCTCGAGAAGCTGCACGAGGTCGGCCTCGGCCGCACCGAGGTGCTCGCCGAGCCTGCCGCTGTTGATGCCGTGGACATTGAAAAGAAGGAGGACCTGGCGCAGACGCACACGCGCTCGTCGCGTCGCTTCATCAAGCCGAAAGTGACTGACTGGGGCGCGTCCATGTCGCCGCGCCGCATCCGCGAGGCGCTCAGCGTGATGCACCAGTCCCCGATCTCGGCGCTGTTCGCCTCCCGCAAGATGGCGCTCAACACTGTGCTGATCTGCATGTGCTGGGGCGCCGTGGGTCTCGCGTACCCCCTGTTCAACTCGTTTATCGCGATCTACCTCGAGCAAAAGTCGAACGTGTCTTCCACGCCGACGAGCATCTCGGAGCAGTACCGCCAGCTTGTGATTATCGCGGTCTGCGGTGTGCCCGGCAGTCTGTTTGCATCTGCCATGGTGGAGCTTCCGTACGCCGGCCGCCGCGGCAGCATGGCGATCTTCACCTGTCTCACTGGTGTCTTCCTCTTTTTGTTCACGACGGCCAAGTCGTCCGACGCGGTGCTCGGCTGGAGCTGTGCAGTGAGTCTTGTGCAAAACGCGATGTACGCCATTCTTTACGCTATCACCTACGAGGTGTTCCCTGCTCCTCAACGGGGCACCGGCGACGGTCTTGCAATGAGCACGCAGCGTGTGTTTGGTATTGCTGCGCCACTCATCGCGACATTCGCCAGCAAGGACGAGCCGAATACCCCTATCTACGTGTCCGGTGCCATGTTCCTTGTCGCGTCTATTGTGATGGTTTTCCTGCCGTACGAACCCAGGGGCCATGACGCACTTTAAAGCACACCTTGCGTGCTTTTTCGTCACGTGTAGTTTTAATCGCACGCCATTTAGCCATATCCACATCGCAGCATTTCTCTCTCTGTATACCCATGTTCTCCCAGCTGGCGCGTGCTAGCATCTCCCCCCGCACCGCAGTGCGCAGTGGCGCTCTCGCTGCTGGATTCGCCACCTCAGCAGCGCGTGACGCTGCGCACAAGGTCGTGGTCGTTGGCGCCGGCTCTGCTGGCCTTTCGGTCTCGGCTCAGCTTTTGCGCAAGGGCACTTTTGCCAAGGATGATATCGCGATCGTCGACCCCGCCGAGTACCACCACTACCAGCCCGGCTGGACACTGGTCGGCGGTGGTCTCAAGACCCGCGAGGAGCTCCGTCGCCCCCTTGCGAGCCTCGTGGACCCCAAGGTCCGCTTCTACCAGGACGCGGTCACTCAGATCCGCGCCAAGGACAACACTGTGGTCACGAGCTCCGGCGAGGAGCTCAACTACGAGCATCTCATCGTCGCCTCCGGCTACGAGATCACGCTCGACTCTATTTCTGGCCTCCGCGAGGCGCTGAGCAAGCCGAACCCCAAGGTGACTTCGATCTACACTTATGACTCGGTGGACAAGGTCTTCCCCTCTATCCAGGCCCTCACCGAGGGTACCGCCCTCTTCACGCAGCCCTCGAGCCCGATCAAGTGTGCCGGCGCGCCGCAGAAGATCATGTGGCTCGCTGTCGACTACTGGAAGAAGGCCGGTCTTTTTGACAGCGACCCTGCCAAGTCCAAGATCAAGGTCTCGTTCGAGACCGGCATGCCCACGATGTTCAGTGTGCCCAAGTACAATGAGGTGCTCGAGCAGCTCCGTGTCGAGCGCGGTGTGGATGCCCACTACAAGCACAACCTCACCGCGATTGAGGACGACGTCGCTGTCTTTAGCGTGCCTGACGCGGAGCCCGTCCGCCGCAAGTTCGACCTGCTCCACGTCACCCCCACGATGGCGCCGCCCAAGTTCATCAGCGAGTCGGGCATCGCGAACGCCGCTGGCTACGTCGACGTCGACCAGGGAACCCTGCGCCACGTTTCGCACCCCAACGTGTGGTCGATCGGCGACTCGAGCTCGCTTCCCACGAGCAAGACTGTCGCTGCCATCACCGGCCAGGCGCCTGTCCTTGTCGAGAACGTGCTTCTTGCTCTCGAGGGCAAGGAGCCCACCGCCACCTACGACGGCTACACCTCGTGCCCCCTGATCACCGAGTACGGCAAGGTCCTTCTCGCCGAGTTTGTGTACGGTCTCCAGCCCAAGGAGAGCTTCAACGGCGTCCTTGGCATCGACCAGGGCCAGCCCCAGCGTCTCTTCTACAACCTCAAGAAGGACTTCTTCCCCTGGGTGTACTACTCGAGCCATGTCAAGGGCACCTGGGCCGGCCCCAAGGGCTGGTCGTTCGGTGGCCGCCGCTCGTTCAGCACCAGTGTGCGCGCTCAGCGCAACACCCCCGTGCGTCACCCCCGTGACCCCCTGCACAACAACCCCAACGCATCGCGTTTCGCGCTCAACTCGGGCGAGACTTTTATTGTGCGCCCCCCGCCGAGCGCCATCTCGGCGCGCGCAACTGTCGAGAGTGTCGAGTCTTTTTTTGAGGGCGATGCCAAGGGTGCCGCACCTGCCGCGCCCTTGGTTAACCGCCGCAAGGAGAACTCGTACAAGACCCCCTCGCCTGAGGAGATCGCTGCGATCCAGGAGCTCCGTGCTCAGGACCCCGTGGCTAACTCTGTCGGTGTGCTGTCGAAGCGCTTCGGCTGCTCGCCCCACTTTGTGAGCAAGGTGGCGCCCGCACCCAAGAAGCACCTTGCTGCGCAAGTTGCTGACCTCGAGCTCCGCAAGGCTACGTGGGGCATGAACAAGCGCATCTCGCGCATTGAGCGCGAGGAACGCCGCGCTCTCTGGTAGATGTACTATCTTTATGACAATCGAATGCATGCACAACTCTAGCAACCACAACCAGGATGATGACAAAATTCTTCCCAAGCTTGGAAAGAGTGCTATTTATTGTCCAGATTCTAGCTGCTTTCCAATAGCTTTCCGATATGAGAGGCAATTGCTCATTGCCTTCACGTGCTAGGCCCAATAGTATAGTCGCATTATACTCCCTTCGGGCTGACGTCCACAGAGCGAGTTCCTGTTCATTTGGGAGAGGTCCCGGGTTCAATTCCCGGTTGGGCCCAGTTTTTTGCCGTTTTTGTGCGGGATAGATCGAAATAGATTTTAAAAAAAAATATGAGGTATCTATGAAAGGATGTATACGTCTTATCTGCGTTCCCAGTGATCAATGACGTCAATGCCAGAAGGTTGCTTCAACCCCAGATCACAGGCCACACATGACTTGCAGTCTTCCTCTGGGATTTCAATCTTTTCTGGTTGTGGCTCAGCTGCCCGTGCATGCACAGGTGGCTGTGGCGCACACGCGGGTGGCGCACCGCTCGCCTTGGCATGCTTAAAACATCCTCGGCACGAGCAGTTATCGCCGCACTGGCACTGAGGCTCATAGCTGCGCGACATATCAGCAGCTTGAATCAGTAGATGTAGGGAGCTCTCCGGCCCTGCAGTGCTTGGCTGACGTTCAGACTTGCAACAGCCGGTCTGCGAAGTAGTTGAGGTGTTGTTGGTATTGCGGTCATAAGGCTTGCGTGTCGCGGTCACCCCTTCGAACGGGTTGCAACAGCATGTGCACATTCCGGTGCTTTCGCACTGGCATGGATTCAGTAAATTAGAGAAAGAGAGTGGCGACTCGGTGGCATTGGACTGCGCCACGGCGGGGGCATTTTGCTTGCGAGATGCACAGGTACACTTGATATGACGTCCTGTTTTCTCCCGCCGTTCACGACAGTGGCTGCATTGGCTTGGGGGGCGGCCACGCTTCTTAATTACCATGACAGGACCCTTGGATCCATCGAGGTGGCTGCATGTAGAGGTGCGATGCCCCTTGATACATCGCTCGCAGGCCAGTTTCAAGGGCGCATCTTTCTGATTGTCCTTCCCCATTATGAACAACGGGGGGACAGCCCTAGTGAGCTAGATCTAGACTGCTGTGCTGCACACAAATAGCACCGAGATGCCAACGCTTAAATTTGGGTAACGCTTGCCCCAGGGGTATACCACGTGACTTTGCAGCGCTCACCACCACACGCATGTCGGAGGAGGTGCAGCCACCGCGCATCAAAAATCGCGCGCCCGCTCCGGTGCAGATCACCGCCGAGCAGCTGCTCCGCGAGGCTCATGAGCATCAGGAGTTCCCTGGCGAGGCCAAGCAGCGGCAAAGACTCGAGGATTTCGAAGAGCTCGAAGAGTTCCGTGGCAGAAAGCGCAAAGAGTTCGAAGATGCAATCCGTCGTCTGCGCGGCAACATGGCCGCATGGATCCGCTACGGCACCTGGGAGGCGTCACAGGGCCAAATGGAGCGTGCGCGCTCCGTATTTGAGCGCGCACTCGACGTCGACCCACACCATGTGCCCCTGTGGCTTCGGTATACCGAGCAGGAGCTCAAGCGTCGGAACGTGAATCACGCACGCAACCTGTTTGACCGTGCCGTCGCGATTCTCCCTCGCATTGACCAGCTGTGGTACAAGTATGTGCACGTGGAGGAGCTTCTTGGCAACGTGATCGGCACACGCGAGATCTTTGAGCGCTGGATGGGCTGGGAGCCAGACGAGCGCGCATGGAATGCCTACATTGCGTTTGAGGTGCGCTACAATGAGCTCGACCGTGCAAGCGCCGTGTGGGAGCGCGCTGTGACGTGCCACCCCGAGCCGCGGCGCTGGATCCGTTGGGCCAAGTTTGAGGAAGACCGTTCTGCGATCGACAAGGCACGCACGGTCTTTCACATGGCGCTCGACTTCTTTGGCGAGGGGGAGACCGCGCTGGAGCGTGCACAGACTGTATTTACCGCATTCGCCAAGATGGAGACGCGCCAGGGAGAGTTCGACCGGGCACGCATGATCTACAAGTATGCCCTTGAGCGTCTTCCACGCGCCAAGAGCGAGGGCATCTACGCTTCATATACTCGCTTTGAAAAGCAGTTTGGCAGTATAAAGGGTGTGGAGGATACTGTCGTGCAGAAGCGCCGCCTGCAATACGAAGAAGAGATCGAGGCAGCCGCTGGGAACGCGGGCAACTACGATACCTGGTTTGACTATACACGGCTAGAGGAAGAGTCGTACCGGTCGCTGTGCGAGGAGGGGGCGCCTGACTCGATGGTTCAGGCTGCGTTGAGCAAGGCACGTGACGTGTACGAGCGTGCAGTCGCGCTGGTGCCTCCAGCGCCAGAGAAGCGTCTGTGGAGGCGCTATATCTACCTCTGGCTGCGGTGGGCGCTCTTTGAGGAGCTTGATGCGCAGGACGCAGAGAGAGCAAAGAGTGTATATGTCGCAGCTATGGGTGTCGTGCCGCATCGCTCGTTTACGTTTGCCAAGTTGTGGATCAACTATGCAAACTTTGAGGTGCGCCGCCTTGAGCTGGGCGTGGCGCGAAAAATTATGGGTACTGCTATTGGACTCGCGCCCAAGGCAAAGCTTTTCCGTGCATACATCGAGCTGGAGCTCTCGCTCAAAGAGTTTGACCGTGCACGCAAGCTCTACGAGAAAGCGCTTGAGTGGGACGCCAGCAGCAGCAGCACATGGGTCCGCTTTGCCGAGCTCGAGCGCAACCTGTTCGACCTGGACCGTGCACGTGCGATCTACGAGCTGGGCATCAGCCAGGCAGAGTCTGAGCTTGGCGGTCTGGACATGCCCGAGGTGCTGTGGAAGTCCTATATCGACTTTGAGTTTGGCGAGCAGGAGTTTGAGCGTGTTGACGCGCTCTATGAGCGCCTGCTCGAAAAGACTGGCCACGTCAAGGTATGGATCAGCTATGCACTCGGCAAGACTGCTGCGGCAGTGTCGCTCGAGGAGGACGAGGACGCGGCTGCGGAAGAGGAGCTCGAGGAGGCAGGAAAGGACCCAAGCGAGCGTGTCCTTTCTCCAGAGGAGATTGCACTTCGCGAAGAGCGTCGTGCAGACGCGGCCATTGCTGCCCGCAAGATATTCGAGCGTGGCTACGACAATCTGCGCAGCCAGGACCTCAAGGAGGAACGCGTTGTGCTCCTCGAGGCCTGGAAGTCGTTTGAGACCGAGTATGGCAATGCCCAGACAGTGGAGGATGTCCAGGCCCGGATGCCACGTGTGGTCAAGCGGCGCCGCGAGATTCCTGGAGGCGATGGCGCAATGGAGGAGTATTACGACATGGTGTTCCCTGACGATGAGACCAAGGCCAAGCCATCAATGAAGCTGCTGCAGATGGCGCATGCCTGGCACGCTCAAAAAACGACTGAAAATAGTGTTTAATAGTATGCTCAAACTCGAACCCAAACCCACTCCCACTCTTGATACAAGCCCCCTGCTGACTGACTGACTGACCCTACCCCACCCCCCCTCCGCGGCTGTTGGATGACATTATCCTCCACACATGTCGACTACGCTAAACGACGCGGAGCGACAAAAGTCATCATCAGCAGTGCCCGCGTCACCAACAGATGGCTGGGTGTGCGAGCCCGTTGGTGAATGTCTCCCATGCCCCGATGACCGTGTGGTGTACCCATACTGCCGACCATACAACAACAGACAGCAAGTGGCATGCATTCCGCCGCCTGGCCAGACGTTCGAGTCAGACAAACTGCTTGGCTGGAGCGCCTGTGGCAAGTTTGTTGGCCTCGAGGTGCGGCACTATACACAGTTTGTGGTAAGTTTTGCTTGCTTACATCCAGCTATGCAACGTGCTAGTCGTGCTGGCCGCGGCGTTTGTGTATGCATGGCGACAACGATACCAGACACGCAAGTTCCGCAGCGTGCTCCAGCAACGCGTGCATGGAAGGCGTCTACGCAACTCGCAAAGCTCGCAGGAACGATAGATGTGTACAATTACTAGCGACACTACACAAACAGGCCCCACACCCAAAGAACAGCCCAGATACCAAACCCAGCGAGGATCGGGATGGACATGTTGTCGTCAATGCCTCCCAGATCAAGGGCCTCAGTGACACCGGAAATTAGACCACAGAGTGTGTATAAGAGCCATGCAGGGATCGCCGGCTTTGTAGAGGCGCCTCCCCGCGAGACGAAACCGGTGGAGAAGCCGGTCCAGCCAGTGTGGAGGAAACCAGGTGCCGAGGTGCCAAAGTGCGAGAAGCCACCGGGAGTCCACGAGAGACGCGATGGACGTTCACCGATACGTCCAATCGAGGTGCCCCAGAACATATATGCGACGAAAACTCCCATGATCGAAGCCGCGATGAATCCTGCAAGCGACTTGCGACGTGCAAATGGTGGGGAGGGGAGCGACGGTGTGGAGCGGCCAAAGATGCGGCCGAACGTGGATGCAGAGGGGTCGCACCACGAGAGAATGATGATGGAGATGCAACCAATGTCTTCTGGGAAAAGCTTGAGTGCGACAATTACGCCCAAAAGGTAAAACACGACACCATTGACGCGCTCCTTCTCGCCCTCACGCATAAGAAAGCCGAGCACAAACTCATATATGCGCTCAAATGCAGGCACATTAAGGCGGAGCAGATCCGCCGATGACACGAACAAAAACATGTAGAAAAGGACGCGGACGATTTTGTCCAGATCCACGTGCTGGAAGTACAAGTAGAGGACCACGAATCCAATGCTGCAATGGAGTATCTTGCGTGGTACCTCCCACTTGTTGACCACAAGGTCCCATGTGCTGATCTCGGTAGAGGGAGCTGCCTTGCTAGCAACCTTTTGCACCGGTGCTGCAGCTGCAACCGCTGGACCTTCCGAGGTCATGATTGCCTCGTGGTATGATGGTGACCGTGCCAGCGCACGCAGCACCGCAGATCCCTTCTCCAAGGAATTGGAGCGCTGCGGCTGCGTTGGCGGCACCGGTCGCGGGCCATCCATATTGAATGCGGGAGTGAGGCCGTAATATTTGCTCGGCCGACTATGTGGAGCTATGCATGCCTGACGCGCGCCATGCGCGCAGCGCGTCACTTAACGCGTCGAGGTGCATCTCTGGCGCCTCCTTGCGCGCAACATCCAGTGCCTCCTGAGCACGGAGAGCGGCTGCGGAAGCTTCGTTCAGACGTCTCAAGGAGGTATCAAGTTCTTGCTGTAGTGTCGTACACCGCGCATTATGCGCTGCATGCAGCTTTTCTAGAGGGGACTGTTA